TATTTATTTTTAATCTAAATTTTAAGGCTAGCATTAATATTAAATAGCAAGAAGCTAGTTGCATAATAAATTCACATTGTTTTTATTGTTTTTTATTGTTTTTTTTAGCATTAGTTTTTTTTTAGTATATTGTATATATCTTATATTCAAATTAAGTAATAATCACAAATTTGTAATTTATTTTTCAAAATCTTCATTACTTTTTACTATTAATACTTCTAAACTTATAAAAATTTGAATAATTTTTGAATAAAATTTTTAATTATGAGTTTTCAAAAAAAATAAAAGACTATGCTCTGTCTATAATTGCAATAAAAATACTAATTGCTTTCATCAATTTACCTAATTAGCATATGAAAAAGCTCAAAAAAATAAATCTATACTAATTATAATTACTTGATTGTTGGACAATAAGTGTATTATAATCATTATATGCATATTGTTGAACCTAATAAACATCAAACAAAAATTCCTATTTTTGTAGAAATAGATGAAGATCAAAGTAATAAAAATTAAACAATTAGTAATATCACAGCTCAAAGTAACAAATATTGTATTAAAAAGTTTCAATATGTAAGATTTATAGTCTTGTAAATCATAGGACCAAGAATTATTTTTGTTACTACTAATTAGCAGTATACTAGTATATAATTAACACTCTATGCTAATTATATTATTACTCTTTTATTAAATATTTTAACTTATATTTATTAGAATTAACAGATTATATATTTATTGAGCAATTCAAAATACTAACAAACATTCTATATAAGAAGTATTATGAGTTTGATAGCTTAGAACTTAATTCTACTTCTTTTTAATAAATAATTGAAAAAGCAAATCTATATTTAAAAGGCTTTTTTAATCAAATAGTAGAGATACTAATTCCTTATACTAGATTCAACTACAATAAAATTAAGATGAAAAAAACTGTCATAAGCTTATATAATCTAATAGCAGGAATTAGAAATAAATTTGTAAATGATTTCAAATTAGAAGTTGTATTATATCTTCTGGCATCAGAAATATTATGTATAACAATTAATACAATATATAGTATAGAAGTCTCTTCTTGTTATAAAACTATAATAATTATATACATAAGGTCATAAATAAATATTCTAAAAAAATAAAAGAATATTTTTCTAAATATATAAGTATAATATAAATTATTAAAAATTTCTAACAATAATTATAAAATATAGTTATTTAATAAATACCAAGAAAAAATTATACTTTTTTAAATTTTTACTAATTCTCTAAAACAGAAATTAGTAAAAATTTAAGAAAATATAATTTTTCTTTTAGTACTACTTAAGTATATCTACAAAACATAATTTAAATTAGCTAATTGATAAATAAATTCAATAAAAAAAACTACATAGCATAATAATAATTAATTTGTAATATTAGTATAGAATAACTAAATTATATAATATAAAAAATTTTATAAATAAGATAATTATCTATACATTTATAATTTGGATAATTACTATAATATCTATAAAAAAAAAAGATCTAATTATATGAACTTATCTGATGCAAAACATATAGCTACTTTTATTTGTAAATAAGTTTTAGCTTGTATACACAATCTTTTGATCTTCAATAATATATTAGTTCACAATTCAATAAATATCGATACAAGCAATATTTTTTTTAATTAATATACTAGTATTATAGAATATTTGATATTGTTTATACAAATCATAAAAATCAGTAGTTAATCTTTAAAAAATTACTTATTAATAACTTGATCAAACTGATTTACTTACAGTTTATATCTATGATAATAAAATTATTAAAAGAAAAGAAGAAAGATCAATAAAAGATATAAAATTAGTTAGGATTAGAGAAAAAAATTTGTATTCTATAGAAGATTATATAGTAGCACTACAAATGATTCTAAATATCAATAATAATATTAGATATTTAGCTAATAAATTGCTCATATAGTAGTAAATTAGTTTGAACAATTGTTTATTTACAAAGCAATAACAAATTTGTATAAGACAAATTATTAATATCATATACCAACTGAGATTAATTCTTTAATTCTAATTATTAAGCTTTTTCATATCTTTCTAAATAGTAGAGAACAAGTATTAATAACTTATTATTCTTTTTTTAAAAAGATATTTTATTTTATATTCAGTAACAAAAAAAAACTTGTTAAAAAACTAAGACTATAGAGAATTAACTTATTTCTTAACCTTATAATAAATAGTTTAAAATTCGAGATATAATTATAGCAAAATTTAGATGCTGTAAAGATATAGAGTATTGTATGATTATTGATTTATTAGATAATATGATTCTAGCAACTCTAAATATTTTGCAATACTCTTTTAGTCTAGCTCATTTGATGAATATATAGAAACTGTCTTTTGAATTTAGATATTTGCTTTTAGATAGAATCTGTATAATTATAAAAAACACTATTAGTATTCTTAACTGATATTTCTTATTAGCAAGATAATAATCATCTTTTTGCTAAGGTTATAAATTATTTTTAGTAAATTTTAATGATTACTATGTTAAAAATATGCATAGTAAGATATGATTTCATATTTTTGCAACTAGTAGTATTGATAATATAATAAGCAAACTTATATTATTAGTAAGCTTTTTACTAGTTAAAAAAATAATAATTAGTATTTTAATTGTCAACTATTTGACAACTATTTATTAACTATTCGTTAAATATTTAGTATTTGAATAGTTGCTATTTGATATAATCACTGCTACTTGGTATAAAAAAATATTAAGTAGTAACAATTGTATCAAATAGCAACTATTCAGATGCTAAATGTTTAACAAATAGTTGACAAATAGTTGTTAAATAGTTAATAATTGAAATGCTAATTGTCTTTTTTTTGACTAATATTAGAAATAGAATTAGCTTATTAATTATTATATTTAGGCTAAAACTGATTCTATTTCTAACTCAGTATATTTGTAATTTGTAAATTTTTTTTTATTAATTAACAGAATTAAATATTATTAATTAAATACACAAGTTCATTGTAAACTTAAAGATATGTTTGAAAAAATATGTCAGTACCCTTATAAGCTATACGAATTAGATTTTTTTACTGAAAAAACAGCTTTGTACTTATTAGAATACTTCTATAATCTCTTCAAAAATCATAATAAAAGTAAACTATGTAAAAAGAATAAATATAAAAAAGATCTGTATAGGTTAGTTACTTTAGAAGAAAAGGTTAATTCAACAAACCTACTTACAGAATATAATACTAGTATACTTTCCTGATCAGAATCTTGTGATTATTGTTGTTAAAATCTTAGAGATGAAGAAATACTTATCTGTGAGCATAGATACTATTTTCAATGTTACAAAAAATAGAATTTAGTTGTTATTATTGTGAGAAATATTATAAATAGAAAATATACAGCAATATAAAATCTTTTGTAAATAGGTTAGAAAAAGGACCAAATATTTTAACTGCTGAGGAAAGAGAAGATAATAATGATAATAAAAATCAAGATAAAGATAATGGAATAGTAGAAAATATAGAATTGGATAAAATTCAAAAAGTACATATAACCCTTTTAAGTGAAATGAATCATGTTAATACTTGGTAATTAAAATCCCAATAAACGAATTAACAAAAAAAAAGTAAAATATAACTTACTTATATTATGGATCTAAGATCATTACCAGTAAATTAACAAGTAACAGTAGTTTTTAACCATGCCTCTTCGACTAAAGTCTTGCAATGAAAATAAAAGTGTCAGTAGAAGTTTATTAAACCTCTAATATAACATAAAAAACTAACAGCTTTTTACCTTTTATTTAGAATCTTTGTCCATTGGATCTGACTGGATGACATTTCATTAAACGACAAAATAACTCACGAATTATATGTATATATCACCATTTTTTAGATTTTTTACTGTCAAAAAAAATTTTTTCTTGTAGCGAATAAATTTGCTTAGAATGTTTATTGTAAAATTACAGTTGATCAATATAAATGTCGATCTTTTTTTTATCCAATAAAAATGAACTTCACCTATGCTGATTTTTCATGTTCTTATATATAAAAAATTTTGTAAAATAAGCACTTAAAAAAATTATTTTACGTGACAAGTAAACAATCTAAAATAGTATTAAAAACAAAAAAAAACACTAAAATACACGAATCCAAAAAAGTAGCTAAGCTAATCTGAAGACGCGAATCTTATTTATTCTAGATCAAATAAACATGTCATATAAAATGAAAAATCAGTTTCTATATCACTAATTCGATCAAAACATTCTATTTAGTTTATTTATTTAATAAAAATCTTACGTGTCATGTTTAGTTTACTCTGTATAAATAATTTAAATACCCTTCCAAATCATTTCAAATAACAGAATTACATTGTAACATATAATTTTAATATCAGAACGCGTCTTTTTGAAATATCCATTATATAATAATATACGATATTGTATTGGGATGCATTCAGCATGTTGGTGTAACGAACGATCCCTATTTTACAATGTGAATTTTTGGTATCCTTTTGCAAAAAGATTTTTTTCTTCAATTTTTAATTATGACGACAGTTACAATGGATAACGTGGAGCCCAACCCGAAAATTGATTTATGTATGTTTTATTATTTCAATTTAATCATTATTATTTATGCTTTTAATATTTTTGATTTTGAATTTCAAAAAAAAAAAATTAGCGAACGAAAAATTTAATAAACTTTACATATCATGTGATTAAAATTACATTTCCATGTAAATCCAATTTACCGAATCTTACAAAATTACGTAAAATTACGGTAATTTCACAACCCTAATTACAAAAAATTAATTGATTATATAATTCTGGAAAATTAATCCAGAAAGTTTATGGAAAGCAAAAAAAAAGCGAGTTATTCAAAATTTTTTATAACAAAGAAGTGCTTGATTTTTAATTTAACTAATATTTTTTAAAAAAATAAATAATTTTTAATAATAGTGTCGATTCAACAGTTGTTGTTGTTGGTATGTTAATGCCAAATCCTAGTGTAAGTTTCGTCCAAATGTTTCTTTATTAATCATTTCTTTAAATATAATTAGTTATAAATCTCATCGATGAAATTTTTTAGATGAAAAGTATTATATTCTGGCAATGGGCTAATCAAAGCATTAACGTTGCTATAAATTATAGTAATGCTAATAAAACTATTATGATGAGTCTGAAGGAAACTGCTAGTAAGCTTTAATTTTATCCTTAAAAAGTAAAATTTCATTTCTGTAAACTTGATTATTTAATATATGCTTGTTTTTTTTTCGAAAAAATTAGTTGCTTATGCTTTAGTGTAACCACATCATGCGGATTAGCTGTTGGGTTAACACAAGCAGTACCTCGTCTAAAATTCATATCTCCTTCAACTCGTGGAATTAAGCCAGATTGGTACCTTTGCAACTGCTGGAACAGTTAATGTTTACTTAATGCGTTTTAAAGAAATTGGTTTGTGGTCATTCATTTGTGTAAATTTTTTGTATTTATAAAATTGACTTAACGATACATTTTAATAAATTTTAAGATAGAAATGGGATCGATGTTTATGATGCTGATGGGAATAATTTGGGTAAATCACAAAAAGCCGGTGCAAATGCTGTTGGACAGGTTTGGAATTGAAAATTTCTTTTCATCATAATTTCATTTCATTCTTTAAGTCATAATAATCTTTAATAACAATTTAGGTTGCAATCTCTCGCATACTTACAAATTTTCCTGTGCTAACAATTCCACCACTCATACTCTCGCAACTTGAAAAGAGATTATTAAAAAAACTAGCGTAGCACATGTGGGCGGCTTCGCCGCCAAGTTTAGTGTCAAGTTAAAATAGGATCTTTTTGTCTAGAAGTTTAAATTACATATTCTATAAACTTTTTATATAAATGTAGAAAGTGAATATCATAAGTAAAATTTTATTTTATTTTTTTATTTATTTATCGCGGTTTGCAAATTGATGTACTTTTTGATCAATTTGTAGATCACTGCATACCTGATTGTCCGTTTAAAGTCGATTATACACTATTGTAGTTGATTTATAGTAATTTCACGAAATTATAGAATTAATTTGTAAATAAATATAAGAATAATGATCTTAGTTAGCTTAAGAATAGGTTTTAATTTAGTTTTGGTTTGTATTTTGAGCAAGTGAAAAATTTTTTTTAATTATATAAGTAAATTATATATGATTGTAATTAATTTTGTGAAATTGTAATATGAATAAAGTCTAAATTAGTATAAGAATAAGTTTTATTTATATAACTTTAATTTGTATTTCAAGCAAGTAATGTCTTTCTTTTTTTTTTTTTAAAACAAGTTTTTTTATCAAATAAATTTAAAATCATACAAATGACTCTTAGTAATAATTTTAAGTTATACATAGTTTATCTTACTTATGATAGTTATAGTAAACAAGAAATTGCAAACCTTTTATATGTAAGTAAAAGTTTAATATAAAAAATACTTCAAATATATAACAAATAGCATCAAATAAAAAATCTAGTCAAAAAGCTTTAGATCGAAAAAGAATATTTAATAATAATGAAATAAAAGTAAATTTGTCTATTTATTATCTAATAAATAAAAATTAAATAAACAAACTATATTAAATATTTAAAATTTATTTAGATATTAAAAAAATTAGTCAAAAATAAAGTAGATTTGTATTTTAATAAGTTATAATATAAAATAGACATAACAACAAATAAATAGTTATTAATTTTAGCAATAGATCATTATTTAAAATATTGCAATATTACTTGAAAAAAAGTATATTTAAAAATTTTTTTTTATTTTTTATTTTTAATAATTTTAAAAAAATTTTTTTTATAGTTGCATAAAGCAGCTTATAAACAAATAAATTTCTTAGATCTGTATTTATAGCATATATTATAGATTATTATAAATCTAAATAGAGAATTTCTATTTGTATACTAGTATATGCATACATATATAATCAATATTTCAAAATTTCACCTATAAAACTACTTTTGGAGTTCTAATAAAAAAAATTACTTGCCAAAATTTGCATATATTTAATATCTAGATAAAATCTCAAGCTTCACTCTAACTCTAATCTTAATCAGGGTTTATTTTTTATAAAAATTAGTTTAATTTTAATTTACATAAATTAAAAATAATACTATCTAATACAAATTTCTCGACTTTTCAATACAATTCTATTGCCCTCAATAGAATATCTCCTTCAAATATGTTCTCTTCCTCAGAAAAAAATTAACCAACTTTTAACTAAACTTACTAAAAGTATCAAACATATGCTACACCTTCCAATTAATACAAATAATGATATTTTTACAAACCCTCAACTTCTAAACATCCCAACACTTAACAAACTACTTCTTTTAACAAACAGTAGCAATATTAACAGA